ATGTATCATTCAAAAGCCACCGTCACCCATTACAGTGCGTAATGACTGTCAACATACCCTCATATTCAAGACCGCTTCCCAAACTCAAATCCCCAAAAGTCCGTAATGCATTTATGCACAAACCAACAAACCAGTAAGTAAGAGGGACGACGGTCAGAATGAAAGACAGAAGGAAAATAGCTGTGAAGATGGGAAAAGAGGAAAATGAGACGACGTGAAATGGAATATGAAAACTGAAGAAAATGAAATGATCGCTCGATAGTGAATTCCCGCAGTTGTGTTGTCTCAGCATTAAAGTTTCAAGCCAATACGACCTGAACAACGGAATAACAGCGACAAAATATTTGTATGTGCATTTGCAAAATACATACGAATATAATAGCATTAAAAATAATACGCAATATATAAAAAATATCATACTAAATAATGCAGAGAGAATATTTGAAAATTTAATATTAATTATTTTATTTCATAATGGTAATTTATGGAGATGATGGATTGCACACCTGTAATGATATACAACAAATTACTTTTGTAAATCACTCATTCAGTGGAGAGCATGCAAATAATATTTGATGTGACATAATGAAGAATAAAGTAGCGATACTAATATTTTAATTGGGCAAATGAATATATCGGTAACTGAATCAGTCAGAATATTCATTTATTCCACAAGAATAAATCACTTCAAACAGCAGCACTAATGAAATAAGTCCACAACCTCCTCAGGGCAAACTTCACCAATCAACTGAATATTTCATCTGATAATAACCATACAATTGGCGATATCATTTTGTTCTATTCTCATCAAACCGATTGATCTTTATTGTGCTATCATCGAATTCTGATCTTTTACAGATCAATATTCAGTTGTTCAAGAATTGATCTCTACGACTATTATGACGAGCGTTTTATCGATGAAAACCTCATGATGATGTCGTCATCTGAATGAATTAATCGCGTCTTCAGGATGTTAAATGCCGTATTAAAGAGACAATTCTCCAGATTCGAGATGAATTTCTTAATTTTTTCTTCACTGATCAAATTGGAATCGATTCAGAATAGTGGTGTTTAAAGAAGGACAGATGATGAATGATATACTGATGAATATGAAATGGTGATCACTTCCAATGAATCTCATTTCGAATTATTTATTCAACAAACAAACGACGAGATTTTGAGTGCAACTTTACAGCATTTTAAAACACTTTCTGTTATGAACGAATAAACGGCAGATAAAGTTATCATATCCATAACAGATTAAAATCCAACAGAAAAAATATTTGATTGAATAAAATTTCAAGAGCAACTAAGCAATTAATCACCAGAAAACATCGAGTACCAAAGAAAAATCGCTAAGAAACCCTTCGCCCTTGTCCGTAACATTTGTCCGTAAATGTCAAATCTAAAAATGTCGTTGAGTGCATATATCTCCATGCAAAATTATGAGTTTGCCCTTAAAATAAAGCTGAAAATTTCGTGATAAACGTTCAAAATGCACATTGAATATGATATGAAATACAAAGATGAATCTCAAAAGAAGGAACATAATGCATTCTAAATAAATAATTCACGCAGTCACAAAACCTAAATGTCATCGTTGTCATAATGCCATAAACATAATCACCTTTCAATAATAATTATAACAAAACACAAATAAATCCCTAACAACAAGTACAATGTCCAATATAATCTAGCAATGAACTATTGTAAATCGAATATCAGCGCGGATATCAATTCAGCAAATATATAAATCCATAATAAAAACTAAACGAATGACACTATAAGGACATCAATAAACGTAAAATTTGATGTAAATTTCCATAAGTGAATGATAATAAGTAATAATAATTAGAATAATGATAATTTCAAGTGATAGTAGTAATCAACATAGATTTATTCTCAATCACAAGCCGTCAAGATTTGCTTTCCGTTGAATGACCTGCGAGAATAAGGGATATTTATTGAGCCAGATAAGAGGGTGGAGTCTATAATGGTAATGAAGAACGAAAATTGGATATGTGATCAGATCAGAGAGCGATCAATGTGATATGAATCAAAGATCAATTCTGAACGCAGATAACGCATCCGGATGTGTTGCTGCATATTCAGACGACTCTTGAACTGCTTCATCCGCATTTAAGAGTGCGTTCGTCTGCGATAACTTCGGTCGAATTATCAACGCTTCTTGCTCATTAGTGACGTTACTTTTACGTCTCTTCTTATCATTCTCGATGTTCAACATACCCGCACGTAATCTCTCCAATATCGCTTGATTCGGCTCCATCGACGAACCCTCTTTGTCGCGATTACCTGAATTCAATTCAGTTCGATTACCTCCATTTCATACAACACCAATCCTCACCTTGAAGTTTGATGATGCTTCGTTGACTACGTTTTGCTTCTTGTTGCTTTTGTTGTGCTTCATTTCCGTACAATCTGATCAGCGATCCCCACGTATCAAGCTATAATTCATACTCGTAACG